TGAAACAAAGTGGAGTACAGCCTGTTCGTAGAGGAAAACAGTCTTGCAAGGGGCCATGTTTGTTGGATGGAGGGTAAGTTGAATGAGATGAAATTTCCAATGAACAATGTCTGACTCTGACTCTGACTGTTTGACTTAAACTCAGTCAGGCTTGCCGCGCCTCGTTTCACGTTGGAATACGATTTGGCCTTCCTTGGAAGGGGCTGAACCTAGCTGATCTCCACCTCCACTGAAGTGACCGTGCACAAGGAACACCCACTCGTGTCGTCTTGAGCTCGAGTGGTGATAAAATTTGAACACGGACACACGCGGCATGGCCAATCGAGGGATGAGTCTGATGCGTGCGGTCAATTGATATCAGTTGAGTCAGTTGCGTGTTGCAAACTGTAGTCACTCCCATACCGGTTACTGTCGACCAGTTGAGGAGGCTCTGCTACTGTAGTTCATTGTTGGTTACTGTAGTTGGACAGTGACATGGATAGATGATCGATGGAAATTGTCATTCACCAACCATGTGGCTCCAAAATCGCTGCAATTGAAGCAAATGCAATCGAATTCTAAAGAATGAATCATGAATCGTGCGCGCACCCTGACCGGAGAGTCCTCATTCTCATCCTTCATCGTGTTCAGTGTTCTTTGAGCAATTCCTCCGAAGTTCTTGACTCTGGTCACCTTGGAGAGAGATACTGAGAGACTGAGTACGATAATATGACTCATGCCCGTCGAGGTCGATCGATGTCCGGCGATGTCAACGATGACCAATGTCCGTCGTACTCAAAACAATGAAACATGAAGAGCTGCCAGCAGTCTTTTGCGCTCAGGGCCATTCAGGGCTCACTGGTTGATTCCATCCGCTAGATTCCAAAGACCCAATGATTTGACTGGAGTCGATTAAAAGCCCCAAAGTGATCTAGATCAGGTCCGTATCTTGCAAGTCCCAGTCCTCCACTTTGGTTAATGGGGACCATTGGTGGCCGTTTCAACCAATAAGGATTCAAAACCATTGGGGACCATTGACTCTGCGATCTTCCTCACTTTGGCATCACATTAGAGCTCAAAAGGCAATCGAGGGGGTCTCAGAAATGTCCGGAGTCGTCTCAAAGCCGAAATCTGTTCCTGAGTTTCACATACGCACTCATTGACATATCATTGTTCGTGCGCAACAAAACTCAAACCGAAATCTGTTCCTGAGTTTCACATACGCACTCATTGACATATCATTGTTCGTGTGCAACAAAACTCCAATACTCTAAAGACAGATCATGAGCCAGGGCACAATCAAGGCCTCCAAGTTGTTGATAAAATTCTCCCTGCAAGGATCATCTTCACCATCTTCATTGCGGTCATCAAAGTACCGTCCGTCATCCAAATCGCCTAAGAGAATTTCTTGACCTGAGTGCAAGCTGACTGACTTCCAATCTGATGGTCAACAATTGAACAGTCCGACGGACAGGCAGAATGCAAAATCGATGGGCAGAGATGGAGGAACTTCCAAAGCAACGGACTAGGAATGATCTTAGACTCATTAGCCCATTGAACATACAGTCCGACGAGAAAAATCACTTAAAGTGACTGAATCTTATGCGCTCCAGCTGGTCGATGATGAGATCAAGGGAGTTGATGACCGCCTGCAAAGCCGTGCGAGTTCGATGGGACGATGGGGAACATAAACTTCAAGTTGAAGCTTACCAGCTGGCCTCAATCTTTGGCTCAGCAGAGATAGGGGGCATGCTGAAGTCCGGCGAGAAAGGTCAATGTCCGTTGGGTCCGGAGGATTTGAGTCAAAAGCTGCGGTCCAATGGCAAATGAGAAGGCTACTGGTACTACCTGCCACAACACTATTTTGAGCAAAAGACTCCAGAAACATGCCAGGCAGACCTCTGTGTTGATGAAGATGAGGTAGAACGAAGCACAGCAACAGCAGCAACAGCAGTAAAAATAGGATGTCCGGCGAAGCTATGTATTATGAATATCCCAGAGTCAATTTTTACCCAGAGTCTGATTTAAAAAAATTGCTGATCTAATGGTGGAGAAAGGGAAGGGATTGGGCCCTCTGCGCGCATGACGTTCCGCACCGACCTCGATGCTCAGCACGAGTCAAATTGCTTGAAATTGCATTGGAATGCAGGATGGTCAGTTAGCTTGAAAGTGAAACTCGACTCAACAATGTGTGGCTCGCCTCTCTTATTGCGAAATACTGCACCACAAGAATCTTACCCCTTTGCTGAAATGTCTGGAAAAGAATCCTCTGTTCACATCACAGGCAAGCCGTCTGACATCAAGAGCCTTCAGGAAGAACACAAAGAACATGTAGAGCAAGAAGTACCCATTGGAATAAACAGCCTGGCAATTGTTTATGTTCAAAAATTAAATGGCGCCCACCTGAGCTTCGCCATGCTCGTATGCATGTGCATGCCAGCCACACTCCTGGCATGAAGGGCGCTGTAGGTACCGTCACGATGACAACCTGAGTGGAGTCAGTGGTGCACCAGCGCACTCCTGATGGCCTGATGACAAATATTAATGCTGTCATCAGGTCATCTGATGTCATCAGATGTCATCTTCTGATGTCATCTGTGCATGTTGTTTGTGGGACAGCCACAGCTGTCATCATGACAGAGGTTGAGATCTTTGATGGACTAGACAGCTGACAGCCTGACAGCTCTGAACAGGTGTAAGCTTCTGGCAAGTCCTTTCGTAATGATCATGTGGGCCAACATTGTGACCATCGCAGCACCAGCCTCAATGCTGGAAGTCTCACTGAACCGTGTGGACGATGCGAAGAACCCGAGCCCTTCTGCATCCTTGCATGTATATAGCAGCTTCCGTGCTGCTCCTTGCCTTTTACTGCTAGCTGCTGCTAGCTATCTTACCTACGGTCTACCGCAAGTCTACCCCACCAAAGGGAAAAGAGGATGAATAGATCTGAATATATAGCCTCCTGTCAGAATCATCGGGACGCTCGGCCAAAATGGCCGAGCCACCTTGAGGCTCAGGCAGATTCGGAGAGCATCATGCGTCCCACAAGGACGAAGCCCTTCAGAACAAACGAAGTACAACGAGCAGTTTAGCAAATACAGTTGACGAACGAAAAACATCCAAGAACCAAGTTCTAGAGTCTAGAGCAACTTGACTAGCAGCCGGTTTCAACTGCCTGCAGATTGGTGCAAACAACCAGTTCTGGAAGGGTGTTAGACAACTCGTCCAGGTAGCCACTCGCCTCGAATCAACTCACGACTTAGACTTGAGAGACAAAGGGTGGACAAAAGGTGGTTTGGTGGAGGGAACACCATTAAGGGGCGTGCACGCGCGCGAACCCAGCGAGCCAGCAGCAGCAAACCAGCGGACCAGCAGCAGCACCACCAGCAGACCAGCCGAAAACCAGCCACAAACCAGCAAACCAGAAGCAGCAAACCACGAGGTCAAGCACAAGCATTGCGAGCAACGTAAGAAGTCAGTGAGAGGATGAACATGAGTGGGAAGACGACGTATGAAAACGAGCGTGAGGACGAGGACAACGCTCAAAAAGAATCATTATTAAGAATGAGGAGGTGAAGCTGAGTTGCATAAAGTAGAAAGGCGCCAGTGAAAGGAAATTGAGACGTGGCAAGGGGGGTTGAACACACGGGGGGGGCGGCCCATGCCTTTAACGCATACTTGTAGCGTCCACTTTGCAGCCTTTCTGCTGTAGACAGGTGCATGTACTTTGCGTTCTTGTCAATTGATGATGCAAAAGGCTGCACAGCGAGCGGCGGTGTGGTGGTTGGTCCATCGGCCACATCCGCTCAGCCGGCCCCATCGGCTCCGTTGGCCATCAGGCCAATCGGCTCCAACACTTCAAAACTCCACTTGCTTATAGCGTCCATTTTGTGGCTAGCTCCTGTTGCTCCTGTTGTCCTTTCAGCTGAAGTCATGGCAGGGCTGCTTGCGAAATAGATTCCAAGTGCACCCCAAACTCAGGTCATTTGGGAGGATCCCCCAAAGCGGAAGCTATATTATTGAAATCAGGTTGCCGGAGGCAACCTTTAATGACTTGATGTAGCTTCCTGGGACTCTCCAAGGCTATCACCATATCAATGCTTAAGAGGCCTCCAGTTGCAGCAAGCACCTAAGGCCACTGGGAGAAGCCGAAAGGGGCGAGTTGTTGACTCTAGATTGAAACGAACAAAGACAGAACACCCTCAAACTTGATGGCTTTTTCGCAGAAACGTTGATTGCTAAGATCAGCACAAGAAAGTACCAGTATGGTCTGCACATTCACGAAACTCAAGGTCATTGAACATTGACAGAATCGCTGAGCTACTGAATGTGCACTTGCCATGCCTTGTGCGCATTTTGTTGGAGAAAAAATCCAAGGGATGGTAGAGCTCATCTCCCAAGAAGTTGATGAATGCAAACCATACCTTTGGAGATCCAAGAATATATATATTGTATAAGCTTTGCAAAGCACCCATTCCTTGCTTGGAGTATCACAGCGGCCACACCGGTTGTGCCGTAGGCTGCATAGAAACACACCTGAATTGCATCTTCTGAATGCATAATGTCATGTTGCAACACTTATATATGCAAAACCTACGTTGCAGGATGGTGTGAGTATGGCGGGCTTAGCTGCGTGCCCGTGAGGATTGCATCCAAAAGTTATGTCCATCATCATTGGACTGCATTCCACTCTGATGCCTAGCTTGTCTGTGAGATTTGAACTGTTCTGCCTCTCGACTAAAGACTCAGTTATTTTTCAGCTCTTATTCGCTCTGGCAAAAGCACCAGAAGCTCGTGAATCCAGACATCGGCTGAACAATTGGCTGGAAGCTGTCTTAATGCATTTCCGCGCATTGACATAAAGAACGAGCCCAGGTCTAGCTTCATTTTCCTCAACCCGGTGGGCCAAGAGTGTAAGAGCGCAACAGGCCCGGGCAAACAGCTTTAGAAATGTCAACACAAATAAATGGTGCAATTCCAGGAATACACATCATTTATCAAAGACTTTGCTGGCACTTTTTGCATGAAGGCTGAGGCTGAGTACCGATCAAGATTTCACCCGCAACGCGCTTTGCATTGCGAAGAACAACATCTTCTGGCAAAGCTTCTAGCGCAACACAGAACTGTTGCACAACGTGCTTTGTACAACTTGGCAAGCTTCGCAAGCCTTCTGTTCTGCATCGATTTCCATCATGATGTGTCCATGCGGGGGTCAAGTCGGCTCTTCATTCACGCCACTTTCTCGAACTCTGTCATCCTCCTTACATTCAATCCTTATCCTCTCTTCAATGTCCTTTTCTTAGCACTGTTCCTCTGTTCGCCCTTTGTGCTTTCAATCCTTGACGACGGCAAACCCTCACCAACCGATATAAAGTTGAGGAAGCAGCGGTCCTTCGCTTCTTGCATTTTACTCCAGGACCCTGCAGCAAACTTGTTAGTGTGTCAAAGTAACAATATCTCTTCTCTCTGTATATAGTCATAAATAAACTTGGTGGCCTTCATCTTTGACACTGGTGTATCTTCTGAGTACGTCACAACCTGTCCATTCTGGATGCAATCACACAACTCAGCTTGAACTCTTCAAGGCCAGGTGATGTGCAGCGTAAAATAGGTACAGGACAGAATCTTGAAACAGTAGAAATTGTGTAATGGGAAAGACGTTGAACCTGATGCATGTCTGCAGTTCAACACAGGTTCCCGGCCGTAGCCACCTCCGAAAATGCCTACAAGTGCCCTCTGTGTGGCAAAATACATGTATATATCTGTATATGATGTAAACTGTACAGCACTCAGCACTCCAGCCAGTTTACCAGAAAGTGTTCCAAACTTTTGTGTAACGTTCAACTTCTCTGTGTTTACTTTCTGATGTTGCCTTCATTGAAGCAGAATCGGAAGGATTGAAACAGTTGAAGGCGACAAGACATCAATTGCATGGCATTACATGGGTTGAGCAAAGCAAATAGTACAATGTACAGTATCATGAGGTGAATACAAGCACAGTTCCCGCCTTGTCCAATGGATTGAAAGTCACCCCTCGTTTTCTTGCTATGTGCTTCTCTTTTCTTGTCGGCCTCAAACACATAACATCATCATCAAGTTGAATATTTCATGAAATCACTTACTGTCAACTACTAATGTCAACCATGGCATTCTGCAGGACTCTCAGTGCATCCAAGTTTAGACTCAGGCAGCCACTCCACAAACGGTTCTTGATCCGTAGTTGCCTGCAGAGTCCGACAGGTGCAAAACCCTCCTGGATGCAATTGAAAACATACACAAAATCTCCTACTGAAGCTATGGCACAAAATGTGGCAAGATTCACCGGATGCCTTGGTCGGGTTCCTCTTGTCATTAGTGTGCTTCCCTCCCTGCGACAGACTCGGCAACTGCCGCAAAATGACGTTATAGCCTTAATTTCGTTGTCGCAGCCATGTGGCGAGCAGCTACATGAAATGCAGGAGCATGGGCGAAATTCAACCATGAAAAGGGTACACACATGGTCTGGTCTAGTCTGAGACAACGTTCTTGTGAAATAGAACAACTGTTTCTATTCAAGAAGATTCGACTGCTACACATGTGCATACTGTTTGGGCCTTCATCTTTGTACGTCGCTGGGTCCTGCAACTGTCGAATCTAGCTTGGTACAAGCCCCTACTTGAACTGAGTTCATTCTGTGACCATGTTGCAAATCTCTTGATTTTTTGTATTATATAATATTATATATATCATCGATGTGTGTATGTTTTTTCTTTGTCTGTTCCCGAAAGCACCTGCGAAGGGTTCCGTAAAGAACGGCTGCCAACTTCAACTGTCTAACAATAGTAATAATAATAATCATCATCATCAACCATCAAGGTGTAGAGATGCAGGCGGTGCAACTGCTACAACCCACCAAAAGATCGTCATCACCATCATCATCAAGGTGTAGAAATGCAGGCGATTGGTGCAGCTGACACAAAACGCCTACGGGCCTACATCGTCATCAACATATCATCAGCATCATCAAGGTGTAGAGATGTAGTTGAAATACAGGTGTGGATGTACAGGTGTAGAGATACAGTTGTTGAGGTACAGGTGTAAACACACCTGATGTAGGCGAAAACACCTACAAAACTCACCTATTACACAACTACAATTTCGACATCTTTATAACCCTATTTTCTTAAGGCTACGAAATGCGACCCTCTGCGGAGAGCGTGCGCGTCGGACGCGCAAACCGGTGGTAATATGCGAATCGACTTCTTTCACTCTTTGCGGAAATCCCGCATCGAAATTACCGAACTGTGTAGTTGTCGTCGAACATGAAGCTGTAAGTTGCCAAAGTGTGTAACAGTCGTCGAAAATCGCAGATCAGGCTGGAAGTTGCCAATCCATGTGGTGGCAGTATCCTGTCTAAGAGTCAATAGAAAATTTTCTGTCTATATAGTTAATCTACTTTTTACTATTATGTCATACTTTCTTAAGGTAAGTCTTCTGTCTAAGCCCTTGAAAATGCAGAACTAGTGTCTTGAGCTGACAAGAGAAGTTATTGATGAGAGAGAGAGATGTGTTCTTTGTTGGAAAATGTGTGTTTACACACTACACACATGCTCTTTATGGTTGAAGGAATGTTTCTATTCCCCAAGCAGTGTGTCCACACTGGGGGTTCTTACGGTAGGGGGTTCAATCAGGGTACGCTCTCTGGACTCGGCGTTTTGGCAGGCCCACAGAAAAGTTCCGCTCTGAGATTTCCAAGTGCAATTTCTCTGCGCAGGATCGCGCGAAACGCTGGCCCGGGACGGTGCTTGACGGAGGTGGTGTGCATGTTTTGCATGACTTGGTGATCACTTTTCGTGGCAGGGGAAACCTCGTGTCTTGGTGGTCTAAAGTCGACTTTTCGTGACGGGCGCAGGAGATCGGAGCATCAAGCTCAGATTTTGTGGCAGGCGCACTACTTTGGACATGGTGGTGGTCTTCGGAATGCTCTGATTTCGTGGCAGGTGCAGTGAATCGTGACTTTGTGACATGTGACTCGTTTTCAGAAATCATGGCAGGTGCTGTACTTTGTGGACCTTGAAGTGCACATTTCGTGGCAGGTGCAGTACTTTGTGGGCCTTGATGCGCAGATTTCGTGGCATGCGCAGTACTTTGTGGATCTTTGAAGTGCAGAATTCGTGGCAGGCGCAGTACTTTGTGGACCTTTCCCACCCATCCACCACCATCACCACAATGCGTCTAGATCTCTAGATTTACACGGACGATTGGCGCTAAAAACAAACGTCTGAGCATGGCCACTCACCTTGGGCCCTTCGGAACCAACCGGATTCCAGCCTCAAAAGTGCCCAAAATCATTTATGAAATAAGGCCGCTAACATCAGAGGAATTTTGCATGGATCTGATATATTTTGGCAAGGCCCTTGATAAATCAGAAGGGGCACATTCCATCCCCTAGAAATTTATGTATCTTGGATCTTGTCACAAAATGATTTCGCAAGCTTTGGCAACTCTGCGTCTGCCCCACTGTCAGCCCCGCAGCTTATATGTGTTTAAGCTGTTGTCTACGACTGTACCTGCTTGCACGTTGGCCATTATAGCCAACTTTGTCTAGGCACTCCCCCATAGGTGTAAATGATGCATGTTGTTGGGATGCTGCAGGGCAAGCCCTTGCAACTTGCGGTGACAGTATTCTACAATATTGATGTGTTTTGAATCCTTAGATGACTGCAGGGATGCTCACCAGGTCTTGGTCCGTTCTTCAAGGTATGTTCTTAGCTTGTGCCACTTTAGCTGCAATGTTTGCCAGGTCAGGTCCAAACACAACACAGCATCAAACAATGGCGGGGTGATGAAAATGAAGATTAATGTCCAGGGCGCTGACCTTTGCTGCTGTCCACCTGCTTGCATGTTGGCCCTTGCCATTTTAGCCCACAATCTTTAAACAGGTTTCAAACACTTTTCATGTTTTCCTGTAGATTCCCTAAAACACCTCCCTGGAGTCTCCACAACAAAGCTTTGGCTAGAAACAGCCTTCATAAAACAGGGGGTCCAACATCTAGCTTCCAAAGACATGTTTTGTTCAAAGGAAATCTCTGGCTAAAATCCCTCCAATAAAATGGTGGTAGCCAACATCAGGAGCCTAAATCCAGACCCATTTTAGCCAGAGCATTTCATCTTTAGCCACCACATTTGGCTTCCAAAATCAGGCCGGTTCCCGGCTAAAATCTATACTTTATCAGGGAACCAAACCACCCGAGTTTAGCCTTCAAGCCTAGGTATCTCAGTAGGAAATTTCACAAAGAACAGGGCAGCCATTTTTCTAAGATTTGGTGCGGTTCTGAGGCATGAGCAGGTTGCATCCTGATCCTGTGGTTTCAGTGGTCACTTTCAGAAGTGCCAGTTTACGGACAACAAGGAGTGCAATGATTTGGTGCCCCTCCTTCGCCCACCAGGCGGAAGCGTGTCATGGAAAAGTGCACCCAACGAAGAATGTCTGGGTGGGAATATATCCTCATTGATGAAAAAGTTGCTCAGCATCAGCCCCATTTGTGTCTTTGCGTTGCTGAAGAAGGCTGCGCACAAGGTCAATACAGAGCACAGTGGATGCAACTATAGCAAGAAGCATGACACAGATTTGTTGATCATTTAGATGAGCAGATCAGGGTTGCAGCTCACCAGTACAGGACATTGAAAAAGGATCTTAATCTTCTAGCACAGAAGAGGCTTTTCAAGAAAGCTTCTTGTAGATGAAAGCAGTGAGGTGGAAAATGTCCTGGCCTTGATCGAATGGCCAAATGGGGGTGGAGGGCCGAGAAAACGCAGCAAACGACAAGATTGTCAGATACAGCAGAGGTCGTTTTTTCTTTGACACCGTTGGGGGGCAAGCCAGCTTTGATTGTATTTGCTTTGCTTTGTTGTAGGCTGAGCTAGTCCTGCAATGCTTGAAACTTGTCTTGCGCACCTTCTCTGCAGCCTTCTTTTTGGCAGCTGGCTTCTCTGGCTTCTCCTTGGTCTTCATCGTTCTTTTTCTGTTCTTCTTTGGTGCTTCTGCAACACTCTGGACAAGCCATTTGGACAATTCCTCCTGCTCATCTTCCAGCAATGCAGGAAGCGAGCAGGAGAGACACCTGTACAAGAAGAAAACGAGGAAGGTTGCACCTTGCAAATAGGTTCTGAAACAGAAGAAATTATTCTCCTCAAAAGCCTCCTGAAAATCTTTGGCGGCGCTATTCACTTCTGGAGGAGATGGTGGCGCAATCACACCCACGCTCTCTCTTTCTTGGGGCACATGGCAGCAAACATTGACAGTGGATTGGCTGGTTGGGGAAGAATGAAGAGGAGATTGAAGAATTCTGGAGAGAGGAAACACTAGCGAGGTGAGTTTTGATTATAACAAGCAACTTCACTGCGCAGCTTCATTGTACCTTTTGGCGCAAGAAGCGCAGCTTTGAGAAGCATGTGTCAGCATCAGCTATCAAGGTGCCATGGTTTAAGTTTAACCTCAAAGACAACTAGTATAAGTACAAAAAGCCAGGCCACAATGAAGTACATTTGCTGCAATAGCACGAGCCAAACAAATCAATCTTCAACTACAACACACACACACTCACATTCTTCCAGCAATAACGAAGACTTCTGAAAAGCACTTCACAGTCACACAAATGTATGTTCAATACGTTTCAGAAAATACAACAAGTTTCACTTGGGCAAAGGTTCTGCACCATGGAAGAATCTATGTCTCCAACTTACCCTATGGGCTGCAGCAACATCCGTCTATGCTTTTTGGGCTGGAGTTGGTGCTTAGGGTCCCAGCATTCATAAATCCTCTGAGACCTAGCAGCAAGCCCAACCAAATCCATCAATGCAGTGATCCGCCACAAATTCTACCCTGATTTTTAGCTCTTTTGGTGGTCTGCGCAGATCACAGGCAAGTTGCTTGCTCCAAGCGATTGGAGTCATGAGGAAGGATTTGGTTGCCAAAGCGCCGTTGATAAAGAATGCTGCTTTTGTAAGGGCAAGGGATCAAAAAAAAATCTATCAAAAAACAAATATAATTCAGGGGATCAAGAAAAACAAAAATGAATCAAGAAAAATAAACGGACCCAAACGCGTGGAGGGAAGCGGAATAGTCCAACTCGAAGCAAAAATTAGAAGAAAAACAAAAACGCATCAAAAACAAAAACTAAAACTAAATCAACCTACACGGATACCTTGGATGGTCCTGTAGGGCCCTTGGGTCGAGACCAACCTATCCACCACAACGGTCGGCCTCTGCCCTCTGTGTTCGGTTCGAAATTGCCAAGAATTCAAAAGATAAGGTGTTTCAGGTTTGGAGATTCAAGAGATCACGGTTGAGAAGCAGGACGCCTACATCTACAAAGATCCAAAGGCCTCGACATCCAGACAGATCTAGTGTAGAGGTGTAGAGTCTAGAGACCCACAAAATCTTGCATGGGTTCAGATCCAGCTCTTCCAAAATTTTACTGGCGTGCTAGAATGGAATGGCTTTCTGCCCTCTAAACTTTACTGCTGTACATTCGGGTGGCTCACAGAAGGGCGGCGCCGCAGCCGCGCACACGGATTCAACTCAACTGCGCGCACACATTTTATTGGCGCTTGTGCCTCATCTGCGCACACACTTG